GGGTCACCACTTTCGAACCCACTGTCCAGGAGGCCGCCAATGAAGTCCTCCGTTTGCTACAAACAATTCAAGTCACTACCCAGCAATTGAAAGACGCAGCTACCCGCTACGGCCTCCCACTCGGCCGCATCAATCGTCTCCCTATTCGCAGTTTGCAACACTTGGTAAGTGTGGGAGCAGCAATTGGTTGCTGACTCGCTATGCTCAGCCGAAAGCAACCCAGCCACAACACTATGCAACAACTCTTCCACCTCCACTGCGCTCTATCCATTTTGATCCACCACACACAATACATCGAACGTGCAGAAGCCATTTTTGCAACAGGCCTCATTCACATCACTCTGCTCTTTGCCTACCCATCCACAACACATCGATCCCAACAATGGAGAAACCGTTTCCGGCAGCTCCACATCCTTCCCAATACTTACCACTACCACAACTTTCTTTCCCAAAATTCCGTCTACATCAAACTCCACTTCAACCCCATTCCCCCCCAGCGTTGTTACCACCAGCATGGCCATTTCTACGTCGGCTCAACAGCCATTGGCATCCCTCATAGGGAGCACAACCGCCGCGCCAAGCTCAAACAACTCCAGAACAACATTCCTATTTCAGCCGAACTATCTTTACGCTACTGGCACTCCCACAACAACATTCACCGCTACACAACCATCCAGCTCACGTCCCACGACACCTACGATCAAGCCTGGATCCAGGAACACCACCACATTGCCAATTGGATGCCCACACTCAACTGGCCGTTCATCTCCCAACACCTCAAGCTCAAGGCCCAGGGATGGCAAGTCACCAAACATCGTGCACATTTCTACTCCAGACTAGCCACCCACAAACGCCTCTTCCGACGACTGAGGCAACGCCAACACACCCTCCGCGAACCCCATCTTTACACTTCCACCAAACATCACGCGCTCACACTTCTTCGTGACCTCGCCAAACACACCGCAGCCTCCTTCGAAGCAGCCAAACAATTGCGAAGTGGCCGACACCCGGACTTAGAAGTCTGTGCCATCCGGCGTATGGCCGCCAACCTTGAAGAACCAGGCCGCAGCAGAGCCCTCCACATCATCAACAAAGCCCTTCTCTATCGCAATCTCACACCACCCAAACCCAACATTCCGCTCACAGTGCTCTTCCTGGCGCACGAAGACTTTACCAAACACTGTCAACAATGGCTCCGTACCACCATCCAACAGCACAAACATTTAGCCATCCCCCTCCACCTTCCCTCCCATCGCATCCGTGAAGCAGCACACAAGACTCTGCGATCTCAGCTCCACAATCACAGGACCTGGGAAGACACTCTTCACTCACCACCAGATCCAGCAGATCTCCCTTGTGCGAGCGACCACCTTCGCACTCTCCTCCACGACCCTGACACCCCTACCACCAATGGTCACTACATCCTCACCTTGGACCAACTGCAACTTCCACCACATCTCGCCATTTTCCTCAACGCCAACATGAACAGCACTTATTACCCCAGCAAGGCCCGCTACTTCCTCACTTTCCAGCAAGCTTACACGAAGCGGCTCAAAATTCAAGGGCTACCACCATCCCTCGTCCAGCACTTGGAACCGTTCCTCACACACCAATGGCGCCTCCACAACGCTCATCTCCAACACCAACCCCGTTTTACCGCTCGCCTGCTCCGACAACTCCAGGAACTTCTCGGCCCACATACAGTACTTCACCATGCTGACCATGAACTACAACAACTCCGACTGTTCTGCCCTCGTCAATATTTCACCGGAGCTCTGAACACATGGCAATCCCCAGAACTTTTTGAACCACTTCCATATCTCACAGCCGCCAACATCCACGACCACCTCAAAGCCACGGTCCCACCCATCCTCCGCACACGCTACAAGTGGGGATTCCGCAAGGATTTCAACATTCCCTACGGAGTGGTTCACCTCAAGGAGAAAAAGCACTGGCAAAAGGGCCGCACCATTATTTCCTACTTCCGTTCACTCACAGGCAACCTCCTACGTATCACCAGCCGAGCCCTCGACATTATACTTCAACACCTTTACCCACAACATCCAGGGCAGCTCACACAACTATGGCACCACTTCCACAGCTACCTCACTCAAACACCAGCAGACATCTCCCTCCACGCTACCAACGACGACCTGGTGGGCTTCTTCAACTCGGTCCCCCAACATCGACTGATCGATGCAGTCCACTCCATGATACAGCACTGGCAACAACAACAATCCACACACGCTCTCACTGTGGATGTTCAAGCCGCCGGCAATCCCTTCCACTCCCACATCGGCAGACACCACCAAAAACACCCTACACAACGCACCATCCAGACCTCCGACATCACCACTATCGTCGCTTATGCACTCAACACCTGCATTTTCCGGGCTTGCAATAACACTTACAAACAAATACGAGGAGCTGGGATTGGCTCCCAACTCTCTCCAGCCCTCTGCAATGTCGCCATCACCCTCATTGAACACTCCTGGCACCAGATCCACAACAACCTATTGCAACACACAGACCTGCACTTTGCTTACTACCGTTACGTTGACAACCGCTTCATTGTCCACAATGAACACTTCCTCCACCACCCAGCCATTCAAACCCTTGTCCACCACAATTTCTTCGGGGACCCAGTGGAATTGGAACCTGTCGATGACTTTCACCTCCTGGGGTTCAACATTGACCTCCAGCAACGCACCATCACCTACATACAACCTTCCCAACCCTGGAAGATCAGGGATGCCACCACAGCCGGGAGCCGGCGCTTGGCTCTGTCAGGCCTTCAATCCAGACTCCACACTATCCACAAATACACCTTTCCACCCTCCAGCGCTGAAGTTGCTGCCGCCGAGCTAGTGAGGCTCTATGTCCAAAAAGGACACAACCACCAAGCCTGCCACCGGTTTTTGAAAAAGCGCCGACGACGGCGACCTGTGTGTGTCGCCCCCTGGTCAAAGGGTTTCCTTTCTTGACCTCCACTGCCAATTGTTTCACTAGCAGGGGCACACGGCATCCATGACCTACCGTGTGCAACGAAGCTGCGGTCATGGATGGGAAGGGAAGGCTGATCGCCTTCCTGTACCTGCTTTCAACACACTGACTCCAATGGTCCACCCTGCCGCTGTTTGTTGGTTTCCATGGTTCTTCACGATACTTTCTCACAACAACAAGTTTCCCACAGCCGCTTTTCAGCCGCAGTCGTTCAACCGCGTGAACAGATTGTTAAACATTTCAGTTGCGCTGACTCTTTCACCTTACGTTTCCCTCACCTTCCTTCCCAACGTGGGAATTGAGATACCTGAATACAATTGTCAGAGTGTGCTCCGATGGAGCTTTCCGCTTGACTTTTGGAGGAAGTCTCGTGCAAAACGCTCGTTTTGGAGACTTGACACGTGAATTTTGGAAGAAGTCTCGTGCGAAATTCTCGTTTTGCAGTCTCCTCGTGTGACTCTTGGAGCAAGTCTCGTATGAAAGGCTAGTTTTGGAGACGGTGGACTTTTGGAAACTAGTGGCCCCACAAGGGCGCGAAGAGTCCGTGTCTCCTACAAGAGTGTTCCACCAGAGTGTCCGACAAGAGTGTCCTACAAGAGTGTCCCACAAGAGAGTCAAGCCTACAAGAATGCCCCACAAAAGGGTCCTACAAGAGTGTTGAAAGTGTCCCACAAGAATGCCATGCAAGAGTGTCCCAAAAGAGTGACCCACAACAGTGTCGGACAAGAGTGCGCTACAAGAATGCCCCACGCGAGTGCCTACAAGAGTGTCCCGCAAAAGTGCCCTACAAGAGTGTCCGTAGTGTCCCACAAGAGTTTTCCACAAGAGTGTCCCAGATAGAGTGTCCCACAAGAGTGTCCCAGATAGAGTGTCCCGCCAGAGTTTCCTACAAGAGTGACCTACAAGAGTGTCCCGCAAGAGTGTCGTACAAGAGTGACATACAAGAGTGTCAGACAAGAGTGCCCTCAAAGAGTGCCCCGCCAAAGTGTCCTACAAGAGTGTCCCACAAGTGTGGGTGTCATACAAGTCAAGGTGTCCCACAAAAGAGAACAAGAGTGTCCCGCAAGGGTTTCCGACAAGAATGTGTCCTGCAAGACTGTCCCGCAAGAGTGTCCCACAAGAGTGTCCTACAAGAGTGTCCTGCAAGAGTTTCCCACAAGACTTTTCCACAAGAGTTTCCGACAAGAGTGGCCGACAAGAGTGTCCTACAAGAGTGTCCCACAAGAGTGTTCCGCAAGAGTGTCCGAAAAGAGTGTCCTACCACAAGAGTGTCCCTCAGAAGTGGCAACTTAGTAGCAGACATGTAATATGGGAAGCAGCTCCTGGCAGCTAGGACAGGCCACTTGGTAGTACAAGTGTAGTAAGCTGTGGCCTCAGACCTGGCCACTTGGTAGTAAAAGTGTAGTGCAGAAAGCAGCTTCTGCGGGCTGTGGCCTCAGAACTGGCAACTTGTAGGTTGTGGGAGCTGTGGCCTCAGAACTGGCCACTTGCTAGTACAAATGAAGTGTGGCCAGCAGCTTCTGGCAGCTGTAGAATGTATACCGGAAGCAGCTTCTGGGAGCTGTGGCCTCAGAACTGTCAACTTATATGGCCAAATTGCATCTGAGTACGCGAGTGTCGTACGTGAGTGTCCCACAAGAGTGTCCCGCAAGAGTGTCCCACAAGAGTGTCCTACAAGAGTGTCCTGCAAGAGTGTCCTGCAAGACTTTTCCACAAGAGTTTCCGACAAGAGTGGCCGACAAGAGTGTCCTACAAGAGCGTTCTACAAGAGCGTCTCTTACAAGAGTGTCAAAAAATGTGTTGGGGCTTGTTTTCGAGTACGTGTTTGCATGCGGGTGCGTGGGTTCCATCTTGTTTGCAATGTGGATATAGAAATGGCCATCCAGGTCCATTTGTTAATGCTTCGCAGTTCTATCCATGATTCCAGTTTCTATTACCCATGTATACCCATGTAATTAACAACAATACTACACATACACCACCTTCAGCCGAGTTGCAGCGATTCCGAGGGTCCATAGGAAGATAAATGAAATCCTGTGCTGGTCTGTGCAATCAAAGATGCTGGACCAATGACCAACGTGTTCAAGAATGGAACAAATATCTGAGTCCAAGAAGAGTGCGATATGCTGGATTCAATGGGGTCATCAATGGTCATCATCATAAACTTGCTTGGCTTTCTGCAGCTGAGGGCTGACCATCTTGCCCTGGAAGCCAGCGTTCAAAATTTCTCGTAGAAGTTTTCGTTGTGTGTACTTCACAGGCACGTTCTTGACCATCACCTAAGCGGAGGAGCCTACTGAGGTCATTCTCACCATCATCTGCTCACCAATACCATACAAGCAAGCGCGCTAAAAAGGAGATAGTATATCTGCATGGATTGGCACGCTGATGGACGTTCTCTGTTGCCCAGTATTGACCATTTGACCATGAAGTGAATTACCATGACTTGTACACAAATTCAGGAAGGTAGCCACTTGCCTCCATGGCCAAGAATCGGACAAATGTTTGGACTGCTGTGTAGGAGCCTTCGTCTGTTGATACTTTGACTTCAACCAATGAAAAAGCCAAGGTTGCACTGGAAACAATTACAACCCGACAAATAGATTTTAAACGCCAAGCACAAGCCTATACAGTATATAATTGCAAATAATGCTGTCAGGGTCATTGAATTGAACTGGCACTTTATATATTTATCTACTCTCCCACACCCTAGAGCTCCCTGACCGAAAGTGGGAACTCGGAACATGGCTGGTTGCCAGATAAGGTGCAGTTGTTAGACCCGCCAAGGCTGAGGAGTCGCGCTGCTGGCCGGAGGCCTGAGATCTTGGCAGATTCAAAGTGCCCTTCTAACAGTCAAAGCATTCAGCACTGCTCAAGCAGCACTGCTCAAGCAAGCAGTGCTTTCAACATGTCAAAGTTGTTGGAGGTGTGTTTCGGCAAATGAAGAATCTGTGCATTATATATATATATACACCTCTGAGGGCTACTAGTAGCAAGGTGTCTTACTAGTAGTAACAAGCAGCTACTAGGTTCCTGGCAGTGCTACTAGTAGCTAGAAGCTTCTAGAAATTACACTGCTAAGGCTTGACATGAGAACAGCATTGTGAATCATCGAGTTCATGAGCCGCGTTGCGGTCGATGGTCAATGACTGCAGCCGTGTCTCAAAGCTTTCTGAAAGAATCTAAGAACAGAAAAGGTGTTTGGGCCCAGTATAATATAGTGAGGCCCCAATTGAAGGGGCCTTCTTATCAAAGAGCCCCTTATCATATTTTTTCCGCTTTCGTTCTTCATATAATATAAATATGATATGCTCCCTTTACACTAGACCATGCACAGTTGTGGAGAAGCAGTGGCAGCCAGCTGGATCTCGTATCATCTTGTTGCAAGTTACCACTTGATTGTTGCCATCGTGAGTAGTCAAAATTTCAGCACCCTATCAGGCCATTTTGTCGTACGAGCTCAACCCTTGGCCTGCGAGGAGTTGGCATCCACGATGGCCTCACCAGAGATTCCGCGTATTCGGCAATACATCACAACAGCTCAAACTAGTCCATCTCCCAAATCGGTCAAGAATCAGCAAGCACAATGACGACGGGTCCCAAACAAACTAACAAAACTCCAAACATAGGATGGCTAGGCCCTTTCACGCCATGTCATCCCCGGATTCAGGCCTGCTCACGTAGCCTGAGAGATGAGGTGCTTGTTCCAACACAATTCTCCGTCTTCTGCTTGGTACCCCGGGTGAATGATTGAGCGGCTTGAAATGTCAAACACATCTTCGGGCGGCACTGGGATTGCAATGATTAATCTGGGCTGAAGCAACCCGATTGTACAACCTCTGGCTGTGGCGTGCTCTCTCCAAGTCTTCCGACACCAACGACCGAAGATGGGGTCCGACGCTCAAAGGCTCAGGAGACTAATTAGCTTCGCTCCATGAAAAGCATTGAAACTAAGTGAAATAAATACACAGCCTCCATAGCCTCAAGCTCTGCTCTGATTCACAGCAGCAGTCGTTTCTGTGACAAGACAAGTCACAAGCGCTCGGTTCCCGCAGAGGTGGTCTCACATGACTCGGCGCGGCCAAACCTGAGCTGCCGAGAATCATGAGGGAAGTCTTTCAAAGCATGGTATAAGCTGTAGGCCCTCACTTGCACTCATATACTTCTCATACAACTCTAGCATATTCCGAAATAATCAGGCGGCTACAAATACAATCCAAAGATATATTAAAACATTCTATAGAAAGCCTCGAAAAAGACCAACCAAATTTCAAAGATCACAACTACATTCCATTCCTGACAAACAAGACACGGCTTTTGATCACTATATATAGCTTACAATCTCTACTTGCAAGTTTAACCATAAGACACATTTCAGGATGGTAGAAACTTCACAAAAAGTGGAGCTGAGTGAGAATTGCGCTGCGAACTGCGAACCTTCTTAAACATTTAAATATATACAGTACAGCAATAAGTATGTCGAAACCGTGCTTTGACGCGTGGCTGGCCCTGCAAAGTCAGACAGATCTAAAACACCGTTTCCGAAGGTCCGAGAACTACTTCTTCTTCGATATCAAGGAATGACTCATGACTTCATCTTCTTTGAAGGGGTTCGGAAGACAGGATCAAATAAGACGAGGTGGAACATGGGCAAACGCAACAAGATCAAACACGAAAGCAGCAACAGAACTTGCACCGAAAGTCTTGTCATGTTAGGGATATGAGCCAAAGCATAACCACAACCTCAGTCACGAAAAAGATCGGAGAACAGGGTTGAACCACGAGAACCTCCTGCTGTGTGGCTGTGTGTGTGTGCGTTTGCTGTACAAGTATGTTGGGCAAACACATGCTTTTGCTACAAAAGGTTGGTAATCGTGTCCGTATGCTATTGAAAGCATTGCTGATGTGCGTGTTCCATGTAGCACGCACACTACTACCCCACCCACCCACCCACCCACCCATCCACCCATCTTCCACCCGTCACCCACTCATATCTTACACAATTGCTCCTCGTGCTGTGTTCTGCACAAAAAGCGCACAAAAGTACCAGCGCCCCACGTCGAAGGTGGCAACAGCATGATATTATTATATACACAGTGTATATTTACACGCATGCTAATATATTGGCAATTCCTCGCTGGCCGAGGGAGCATCTTCACAAGAGCGATCAAATAACAGCATGTTGCCACTCTGGATCTCCCGTTACTGTGTGACCAAGTGCGACACAATTTTTTGAGGTTTCAAGATTTCATGGCAGGGGCAGCAATCAAAAGCAACAATCTCCAAACAATCTGCATGTATAAACCTGATAGGGTACTGTAGCAATGCGTACTGAACCCACGTCCGTGACACATCCAAGCAGCTTCGACAGGGCAGTGGATAAGGACTGTGAGAATGCTGCCTGGGCTGTTCTGACAACTTCCACAAGTGCATTCTCCTGTCAACGCTCTGGGCTACTCTGCGCTTGGTGCTCAGGTTCTGGATGTCTTCAGCAAATCCACAGCTGTCATAGTAAGTAAGTACCAACCCAGTCCCTTCTTAACAGTAGTAGGTTGAACGTAATTTGAGAGTTCCATGTTGTGGCGGTCTCTTGAGTGCTTGGGGTGGGTGGGTGGGTGGGTGGGTGGGTGGGTGGCGGTCTCCCAAGTATAATACTGGTGTCCTGGAACAATTAAGCGATGTTAACCATGATCCTGCAAGGATTTGGACATACTGATACCTTTGTACTCACTTCGTTCGTCCCCCTACACTCAAGCCGGGCCTATCGGCTGGCTTTCGTGAAATAATTCAATTACAGGCTTTGTCGCAAGGATCTTGTTCGTGGCCCAAAGAGACTGCAAGCCCCCCCCAAAATAAGATAAAGGGTGCAATGCGCAAATTGTGTATAGGCCTTTCTACAGATATTAATGGATTTATCTATTTCCTTCTATTTGTGACTGAACCGGGGACGGCCGTCGCCTATCACCTTAACATACTTCGACGACCAGTGCGACCATCGCATGGATAAGGGGCCGGGTCCTCATCGCTGCAATCCACATTGCTGCCTGCAACACGGAGAAACCATGCATAACGTTTTCAAGGTGTTTCTCCGTTGTCATGAGTAGCCTGAGAAAGCATGAGGAAGACAAAAAGCAGGGCCAGCCAGCAACCCTCCGAAAAATTTATACCGACGGACTGAAAGATAGAATGCCTGAGATTTAGGTTCGATCGGGCTTAGAATGCCTGAGAAAAGGCATTTTTTGGATGGACTTAGAATGCATGCAGCAACTCACTTGGAATGCCGGCAGAATGCCTGCACCAAATCACTTAGAATGCCGACCATAGCAACGAATCTTGCAGTAATTTCAGGCACGTGATCCCCAATGAATTTCAGGCATTCTATTTTTCAGTCCGTCGGTCATAAAATGGAACAAATTATCACAAAATGGCAATGTGAGGAAAAGGAAAGGGGGGGAACGGAAGAAAGCGGACACAACAAGGAAGGAATTTACTGCACGTGCTTGTACATATATATAAATATATTACAGTAATTCACGTCGCTTCGCGACGGTAACCGCCCGCGCCGGATGGAAGGGGACAATACATCCACCGAGTCCCGGAAGGAAGCCCGAGCTGCTTGTGCTCTTGGAGCCAAGGGAGTGAGTATGAAAGGAAGTTTCCGACATAGCGTCCATATTGTCGGCCCCAGAACGGCTCTCCCTCAACGTGGCTGAACATAGCTTCCATATCGCCTGGAACGTCGCAAATATAAGGTCCAACTGGAGCAGAGAGAAGCAGAGTCATCAGGGGAAGGGATGATGTGGTATTCGATGGTTCAAGGGCCTTTTCAGGTAATCGTGGCTGCTGAAGGGCCGCCACCACTGCCGGAGGTATCACGATGGGACGGTTGACCCTGGCAATTTCCTTTCCTTTTCAAACAAGCTTGGGCTCAAAGACCGCAGCCATTTAGGGGACGATGCTGCAGAGCCGGTCAAGGATCTGTAGGCGGGAGGTGTTTGCAGTATGAAACGAACATGGCAGATGATGACATGGTGGAACACATGCAATGCAAACAGTATGGGATTGTTGATCCAGGTAGGGTTCGCTGTCCTTCTCAAACAAGCTTGGGCTCAAAGACTGCAGCCATTTTAGGACGGGTTTCATCAAGGCAGGAAGTGGTCCATTTTTTGAAACGTAGGCAGAGTGCTGCAGAAGGGTCGCCACGACTATCAGAAACGGGTTCTTGTGCCGCAGCCATTTGGGTGTGGGATGACGCTGTGATGCAAGAAGTTGTGTTTATTTCGAGATGCATGGATTGTTTCGGTTGAAGACGTGAAATATGGCACGAAAACGGGGGATGGCTGCGTCTTTGTGCCGCAGGCATGGAATGGGCCGAAGCAAGGCAGCTCAGGAGCGAAGACGTGTAGGGAAGATGTTTTGTTTGTTCTTGTTGCTGGCAGCAGTCGTCATGTTTTCGAGGCAGCGAATGATGCAGTTGGGCTTCACAGCTGAGGTAGAGGGTAAGGCAAGAGAAAAAGAAGCATTCCATGTAGGGCAACAGTATCATTCAAGTATCGGAGGGAGAGACAAAGACAACTACATACTTGAATTTTTTGAGTGAGTGCTGACGAAGGAACTTGTGCTCTTGGAGCCGAGTGATTTTGTATCAGCTGACGCAGGAACTTGTGCTCTTGGAGCCGAGTGATTGTGTTCGGGTAGTGTGCCTCTACAAGACCTGTTTCCTGGTTTTGCTTTTTCAGAGCTCCGGACTCTCTATGTGAGGCTGCGTGAGGGCCCAGTAGAGCGGCAAGATGTGGCTATGTCCGTGCGGGTCTGTCGGGTGGATCGTTTCATCGAAACGATTCGGGAACCACGGCTCGTGAGTGACGGCTACGTCGCTGCCGTGCGTTTGGGTGAAGTCGCACTTCCGGAAGACGGGCAGGAATGCGCTATAGATTGGGCGGCATGACCTTCTGTTGGCGAAGATAAAGGAGGCGGAGCAGTTCGCTGCAGAGAATCGTGTGCCGGGGGTCAATCGGCAGCATGTGCGGAGGCTGGAGGCCGCTGCTAGGTTTCTGCGTGAGATGAGGAGTTTGGAGCCTGGTCTTTTGACATTGACAGAAAACCCAGTGTTTAGAGTGTCTATAGCAGAATTTTTGGGCCCGGCGGAGGGGCCGGCGGAAAGAACGAACTTGGCAACCTGGATTACCAGTGTGCCTCGGGTGCAGACCAGCTGGATTCCTATGGGCGGCGTGCGGGCTTCACCTCAAAGTATGGCGACACTCCTTCTGGGGCA